GGGAAGTCATCTTGGTTTTCCAATTAACTAATTAAAATACCTGTCAGGTAAACTGCATCTCTACCTTAAGTATCAATCTCTAAGAGTTCTACAAGTCGGTGTGCAATTCACATTTGTATCAACGGTTGTCGATACCCATATTGGCCTAATCTTGCCTAAATTATAGATTCGGTGGTCTATAGTTAGTCCCGGCCCTGGAATCTATTTTTCATATTCAAATGGGTGGACAATTCAGTATAATACAGTATTTGTTTTAATTTTTGAATATTACCCGTCCAGGGTGTAGATCACTGACATACTAGTAAACAAGTCTAATGATGTACGGCGATTGACGAATTCTGGGACAATTGCATGTTGTAGAAACAGGCGAGGTAAACGTGTTGTATGCGCGCCACTGATTCCATGCTGTGATGTGGGATGTGTAATAATGCAATATATTTCGATACATACATTAATAACGAACATTCAAATACTCCAGGTAACTTTGAATACGAAATGTACGTCCGTATCCACATCCGGGGATGAAGATGGGATCCCCTTAAGAGCTAAACTCGTGTGTAATTTGCAGCTAACAATTTGGCGAACTGTCGTTACCGTAAGAGAATATGATAGATAACCAATATTTATTGTAGTAAGCAAGAGAATTGGGCATTGAGATGTCGTCAATCATTCGCATAGAGGAAGCTGCTGAAAATGGTTCTACAAATTGCCCATTGATTGTATCATACGTCCTACTGCAATATCTACACAGATAAGTATGATTACTCGCCAGTGATTTCGGCGATAATGGCGTTCTAATAGCCCAACTAATTTCGTTTTGTAGTCGTCACTGCGACGTGTCATTCTCTCGCTGGGAGTTCCTCGCTAAGTGCTGTTCAAATCTGAGCAGATTCTTAGTCATTAAGGCGTAATAGCGCCTTGGAGATGAGAGAAAGAACGCCGTCTCAATTACGTGTTCTTTGAGGTAAGGGGACTATTAACCCGTCAAGACTAGTTCTCAAACATCGTGTTTTTTTTGTTTTTTTTGTCCAGGATATCTCAATTTGGGTTCAAAAACAACGTTGGGGTGCTCGACTGTCCATTGTTGCAACAAATTGTATCATTTAAAAGTAATTTGGCCAGTGATATTATAAAGGGTGTGATTCTAAACGAATGTCCCATTTTCTCGCAATAGGAAAACAACTCGGAGTCAGTGTAGGAGGTAATTGAACATGACCAGCAAAGAGACTTATTTCGAGTGTTTTTTTTTTCTTGTATTCTTAACAAATTCGAAGCGAATGCTCCAATTAATCGGCTTTACCACAAGAGACCACTTAGAAATGAACAATGAATGTTTTAAGAATGCTTTGGAGAAAAGCGAAATGCTCACAAATGACGAGCGCGGATAATTTAAATTCGGGAGCTGGTGTGTCGGTGGCCGTAGAGGGTCAGAGAAGGCGATGGCTTACTTACAAATTAGTAAAGTTGGTACTGTAGAAACATGCCGATAAAAGTGTTCAGATTGTAAACACGCTGTAGACGCACCAGAGACTTGTTAAATCACCAACTCGCAATTATTATGTAACCAATTTGATGTCTTTACTATTTAGAATTTATATAAAATTGAAGGCAGTTCCACAAATGCCCCATCATGATCTCTGGCTCATTGGCAACACGTACCCATGTGCTAAATACTGAAAAACCGGCAGCTTTTGTAATACATCTCAAATATTGTTTGAATTAGACTGAACATCGCGGTCTTCTGCGTTTATTTTCGCTAAACCGGTCTTCTTGGTTAATTCCCATCATATCTTGTTTCTGGATTGATTCTTGTCACACTGGGATTCTGGGTTGATTCCCGTCTTATGTCAGCAGATACAATGAGTTTACAATTATTTTCATGTACAGGTTAAATACCACTTGACTGGTGGGCTTCTGGCCTAATAACCGCTAAACGGAGTTTCGGGTTTTCTCATATCACCGTCAACGGGCTTCTAGATTTATTCCCGCCGAATCAGGCTTTTGGATTAATTTCCGCCAAATATTAATTCCTGCCACATCGGGCGTCTGGGCTAGTGGCCGCTAAACTGATTTATTTTTGTGAATTTTTTTTTGTTTTGTTTATGAAGAGTTATTACTTTTGTAAAGTTATTGGGCTCATAATTTTATCAAAATTAAAACAGAAGCACATCTAGAATTCCCTTCTTTTTTTTAAATAAGAACAACTACTTGTATAGCAGGAAACTGTACACTTTGATTTTGAGATAAAAGCCTGGACATAAACAATAACATCGACTTATTGCTTAATTTGAATAATCCCTTCACGACGGAAACAGTGCACACTGAAGACGACGCGGTCATATCAACGGGTTGTCTGATCCTAGGTTAATTCTCGCTAAACTGGGAAGAAGAAGAAGAAGAAGAAGAAGAAGAAGAAGAAGAAGAAG